AAACACTGACTGAACCACAGATCTGTGGCCCAAGCACCCAGCCAGAGATAACAGAATAGCCCTGCTGTAACCATTAGTTTCATAGCAACACCTCTACAAAGTGGGTGATGGTATAATCATTTTCCTGGTTAGCAATAAGGAATGGGGTCTGGGAGAAAGAATGGGAAGGCTCTGGACCTAGGTCACTCAAGTGTCAGTGGCTATATTAGGGTGTACCTTCCTGTCTGGTCTTCCCACCTTGTCAATCTTTCCCTTCCTGCCCTAACCAGCTCTTCATTCACAGCTACTGCATTGCTAACAGCCCTCATTGAGTCTGATTTTGTTTTTAGTGAAAGGCCCACAAAATACTGCTGGCTGTTTGTGCTTCTTCAATCAGGGCCTGGCCCATTTTCCAATTACCAGCATCATTTGGGCTCCTTTCCTCCAACTCTGAACTTGCTTGAGTTCAGGTCATCTTCAGCTGATGCATTTACATGAGAAACGGATGATCTGTCACATCTGTCAGTGTGCCAGCCTCCCCCTCCCTATCAGATAGCAAGTGAAATGGCAAGTGTTTCCCTGGGTTCCCAGGCTGCTGGCTGCAGAGGTGGAGCAGCAGGTCCCAATGGGAGCCACAGTGCAAGCCCTGGAGGCTGACCGACATGCTGGCCTTCACTGTGCTGGCCGGTGTGACCTTTTCCCAGCTTCTGAATTCCAAACTGTATTCCCACTAAGAGGACTGAGAGGGTGACCAACTATCACAATTTGCCTGGGACCAAGGGTTTTCCCCATGACATGGAATTTTCAGTGCTAGAATTGGTAGGGGTGGTCACCCTGTTTGGCATACCAGGACACAAAGGCAGTGTGAGAGCATTCGACATTCCCTGGGTGATCTATCTGGAATCTGGGACAGAGATCATTGAAGGCTGTGGCCACCTTTTTCTCTGTCATGTCTGAAGCTTACAGTGCTTCCCTTCACTCATTTATGCCTTATTTTGTTTTTAATCTCTGTTACAAATTGGATAGGGTAAAGTATAATTTCCAAAAAGTAAATGGCTAAGTGAAGGTACAAAGGAATGGCGGGGGGTGTAATCCCTTTGTCCCTAAAGTACTCTTCCCAGTTCAAAAACATATTAGGTATTTATGATGAACTAGGGACCATGGATGTTTATGTCCTCTTATTCCCAGTCCTCAGAGAGCTGACAGCCCCATGGGAGAGACTGATTTAAGTACAATTAATTATACTTGCTTCAAGGCTACCTAGGGGTTCATTAAGATGGAGAAAAGGCCGAGAAACCTAGGGAAGAATTAGGGTAATTCTTCCATACTATGTGCTAAGTACATTTCTTACATTCATGATGTCATTTAACAGCTAATATTTCTTAAGCATTTACCATGTCACTAACCCATTTCATTTTTAGAACTCTATATACTTACTCCATGAATGAAGAAAATGGGGCTTTGAAAAGCTAAGTATCCTTACTTAAGGTTGCAAATTAATAAATGAAGAGTCCAGGGTGGGAACCCAGAGAGTCTGAGTCTTGTCTCCTGCCTTGTATGACACTGAATCTCCTACCCTTCAGTGTGCTGGATCCTCAAAGTAACCGCATGCCAGATACTCAATCAACGTCAGAAGAAAGCAGCTGGTTGGTCTCTGGGAGCAGAGGGTGGCTGTGCGTGATGGAAGCACAGAGGAAAGAACGTGGTGGGTCTCTGAGTTCTACACTGGAATCCCAAGGCATGACTCCAGGAGCGCACCACTGGTGGTGTGAAACCTCTGGGAATGCTAATTTTCTAAAGAAAACTGTCTGGACAAAGGCTGCCCTTCTGGCCCCTGGCTCTAGTAGAGTCTAAAGAATGTATGAACAGAATGTGAAGGCACAGACTAATTTCTTCCTTATCCTTCCAGGGCTGAAGTTGGGAGAGATTCATTATATTTTATTTCCCTGCCTGCTTTATAAGCTTCTGGAGAGCCCATCTTTCTTATGCATGTAGAATATTTGAGCAACTTGCTTTGTGCAAAGAGAGTACTTGAAATAGGCAAATCAGACAAAAATGCATTGATTTGATATGCCACATCTGATCATAACGTGTTCGTTGCAACAGCAGACTCAGAAGTCCGATATTCCAGTACCATCAACTTACGTAAGTTTTATCAGTAATGATCCACAAGTGTAGCACTCTTCCTAGACATCAGATTAAGCATCCAGAGCCTGACATCATAACACATCCTCAAAAACTGTCACAGCATCTATTCTTGTGCTTTATAGGTTTTGGTTTGGGTGAAACAAATATATCATTTCAGAAAAAATTAAGTATTAAAAAATACTAACATTAATTTCCCTATAACTATAATTAATAAAACATAACTGTAGGAAGAATATTGTTCCTATGAAATTTATAGAAATAACAAACTTCTGGGGAAAAACTGATATTTTCTTGCCCACTTCCACTGTTAATAATTTCTGGTTAATATAATCATAGTTTTTCTCTCAGACCCCAAAGTGGGCCTGTTCAGGGCCTGCCTGTGACTCTGAGACTTCAAGTCAGCTCCTGGCACTGCGAGGTGCTAGAACTCCTGGGGCCGTTCTTCTTCAGTTAGAGAGAAAACAGATTTTTTTCTTTTTTTTTTTTTTTTTTTTTTGATGGCAAAGAAAGGCTTTCTCTACTTGCTGACTTATACTCAGCTTTATCCTACAATGGTCTTTATGCTTCTGTGCATAAAGGAGAAATTGACTTTCTGCTCTATCCATCTGATGTTCTGTTACTTTAGCTCAGCAACACTGAACAAGTGGGCACTCAGGATAGGCCTTCTTTAAGGTGTGCCTTTAGGGAAGGTGTTTTTCTTCCACCTGTTGATGCTCACTAAAGGGAACTGAACTCAAACCCTTAGACGCAGAACCATGTCCCCCCACTTCTTCATTGACATGGCCCCTCTCCAATCTTTCTTTTGTCCTTGACATTTTATGAAATTAGCTTTATCAAAATGGTTTCCAGTCTTTTAACTTCCCTGAGTTATTTGCACAACCTTTTCTTCTTATGGTGGCTGTTTACCCTCAACAGCCTTTATAAAGAACAAACTAGTAAAACTCCACCATCAATGAATTTCAGTTTATTTCTATTTGAGTTTTCCAACTATGTACAGAGATAACTTAGTTTCTGCCCCCACCCAGAACTTTCTAGAAAACTGTTGAGAAAGAAAATGAAGAAGGTTAGCTTTTCTTTAGCCAATGATATAACTTTTTTGTTGTTGTTGTTGTTGTTTCAGGGATCGAATTCAGGCGTGCTTAACTAGTGAGCCACATCTGCAAACCTTTTTTTATTTTGAGACAGGGACTTGCTAAGTTTCTTAGGGAGGGTCTTGTTAAGTTCCTGAGGCTGTCTTTGAACCTGTGATCCCCCTTCCTCCACTTCCCTACCTGCTAGGATTATAGGTATGCACCAGGCTGATACATCTTAATTGTATGCAAAAAGTCATGCTGTATTTCAGAAGAGTTTAGTGATGCAAAGAAAAAATATTTTTTGCCACGTACTCCCACAGCACGATCATAGATTGTGAATTGAGAAATTCTAAAGGTGACATAAAGTTCATCAATATCTTCTTTGCCAAATACAGGTGCTGTACTGTATTAAACATGTCTTTTATTTTTTGTATTTTGGTTCTTTTACATCTGGGCCCCATTGATCCTGGAGGTGCTGCCTCTCCCAGCAGCACTGGCTAATTCCTAGAGATAGTAAACAGCTCTTACCCAAACTGTTCACACAACAGCCAACACAAACCAGCCAATCCAGAGCCCACCTCCTCCATCAGGTTCTCACACCAACAGCCCCAGGGCCGGGACCAGACAAGTAGGGACAGCTCCTGTGCCCCAGAATCTGCTGAGATTATTCAAACTAGTGAGCCCTAAACCTGTTTATCCTGCCATTCCCATTCCTCCTCATGGAAACTCCAGAAAAGGCTCTTGCCCGTTTTTTCCTTGTTCCCTTGGTCTCCTGGCTGACCCTTGCTTTTGGGTTGTGTGAGTATTAACAAAGTCTTTTCAATGGCAGTTGTCTGACCTGTCAACCTAGATGTACCTACATCATAGAAAACCTATAATTAAAAACATGTAAATAAGGAGATTCGGGGTAGCAAAAACAGATATCCTGTCCCCAGCATTCTGGACGTCACTCAAATAAATTTAGATGAAACTTTGGTTGCTCTGTGAGCTGTACTAAGCAAAACTACCACTTTAACTGTTTTAAGAAAGAAACGTTGATTTTAATACAAAGCAAAGTATGCTACTGGATAAGAAAGTACTCCATCAAGTGGAAATTGCTATGGTTAAAGTGTTCACATTAAAGTACCTACCGATTCCAAAGGGGATGGGGTTTTTAGGGTCCTAGAATTCCAAAGCACCCCTTGAATCCAATGGTGAAAGTAGCTTAGAAAGAAAGTGAAAATAAGCTTCATTCACCTATACACAAATCCTAATGCTTCATCTTCAGTGTTCTGAATTCTAATACATTCACTATAATGTCACTATAGTGGATTCATTGTGAAGGGCAAAGTCTCTATGGCACTAATTCTTGTTTAAGGCTTACTTCCACTCTTTCTCAAAGGCAATTTTACTTAACTTTGTATGCCCAGCAGCTGGCACATAGTAGGTGTTAAAATATTCATTTACTGATAGAGGAAATATTTCTGAAACATCCTTGTGAATAATGTAAGCGATACCATGAGAGATCCAAGATGCCCCTTTAGGATATTAAGTAAGTAAGTGAATGGTTTCAGAGTTGAGAATTAAAGCTACTTCCTCCAGCCCAAACCACCATATCCCCCCTACATTATGCCACCTCTCAGGGAGCAATCTCAGACACTTAATGGCAACAGTGGACATCTTGGAGTCTCTGGGCTCAGCTGACTACTGAGCCCTCTCATTCTGCGACTCTCCAGCTAACATTGTAGGCATTTTCCATGGGCCTGGCAATGCACTGTGACAAATGGCTGAGCTCCTGAGGGTGATTTGGGTAACACTTACCAAGGGCTCTAGCTCCTTGCGGTCTATGAGGTTCATCTCTGTGACGAAGTAATAGAAGTGTTTGTAGCAGGTGTTGACGTGAGCCTCTGCGCCCATCACAATGACCCGGTCAAAGTGGTGGATGTAGACATGGACGAAGACTCGGAAAAGGCGGCACAGGATCTTCTTGCAGATCTGAAGGAAGTTCTTTGGGAAGGGAACACCTAGAGAAGCAAAGAGGGAAAGGCGTGAAACCACAGTGGTAGGAGGGAGCAGTGGGGAGGTGGCAAGTTGGAAGTGCTTTTCTGCTTCTGTCCAAGGGACAGCTGCTGCACTCTAGCCCAAGAGGCCAGAAGGGGATGGAGGATCAGGGTTATTAGAGCTTCTGATTTCTCAAGATAATGCAGAAACCTGCTGTTTTATGTGAGTCTGCTGTGTTTTATGTGAGTCTGCTGTGTTGTTTTTTTTTTTTAAATGTTAAGTGGAAGTTTAAGAAAAAAAATACAACACTAAATAGATGATAAAACAGAACATCTCTCTAGGTTAGGCTTGGTCTGCAAGCCAGCTTGTTTGCACATTCTGATCCAAAACCTCTCCCAACGTACATTGTTTCTGAGGTGGGCAAATTCAGCAAACTCCCCAGATACTATGTATTGGTAAGAGTTAGGGGTTATGTTTCCTAAAACAGAAAGGGGGAGCGACTGGAGAGTCACTCAGATTTCCACTGCTCTCAACTTGGCCAAAGCAGCACAGGGCAGAGTGGCAAGCCCACCTCCTTCCTCCCTCTCAAACACTATTTAAATTCTTATTATTTACACTGTCTTTAAGTGGTACCATGTTGTAATGGATTCCTAAGTTAAACAGACTTTGTTTGAATTCTTATCTTCTCCTTTTCCAGCTGTTTGACTGTGGGCACGTTATTGAACCTCTGTTTTCTCGTCTGTAAAAGAGAAATGGAAACGAAACAAAACAGTCATAGTAAGACCCTCCATGCAGTTGGGAGGATGTTACCATGAGTAAGAGCCTCTACAGTGCCTAGAACACTACAGGAACTCACTCAGTGGGACTCCCTACTCTTCTTTCTGCAAGGTAAGGTCCGGAGCACTTAGCTTCTGGAAAACTTCCTCATCAAGAAAAGACAGACAATGACCAGCCTTTCAGCAGAATTGCAGAGCTCTGCTCAGGGAATGCCCCAGGTTCCCAGGATGCCCAGAGTTTTGCTGTCCTTGCCTCCACGGGCACCTGGGGCAGTTGCCTGCTGTGAGACTCTGTAAAGGGATCACCTGGGTCCCCCAGGGCAGGATGAGGGAGACAGGGCACAGCTGGCAGTTGGCAGTGACAGGATCTGCCTTCCCCAGGGTCCCCGCACTGATATTGGCTTTTCTTTAAAAACAAAATGGCAATATATCAAATGAACCCAGGGAGAGTCTCAGGCAAGGCTTGGCATCTGACTCTCTGGGTAACAGATGCTGGCGTGTGGGCGTAAGGGTGAGGTAAAGCCAGGGGGAAGGTGGAAGGCAGCCACTTGCACAGCCTATGGGCTTTCTCTGCTGGACCAGGGCTGCTGAACCCCTGCTGCAGGTTAGGGAGGGTCTGGAGCCTTCCACAAAGCCCAAGTCCCAGAGGGGATGGAATCCCTGCTAAGATAGGTGTGTTGACTTCAGAAGGTGAGTACTGTAACTCTTGTCAGATGGTTAATAAGTGTTTATCTTGACAACCCATCTGTGAAGTAGATCTTATTAGTCCCATTTCATAAGCTGACCAACTCTGAGACTCTGAAGCATGATTCAACTTGCTAAAAAGTGGCAGGTCTGGGATTTAAACCAAGTCAGTCTGATTCTCAAATCCAAAGTTTGAGTACATCAGGAGTGTGACTGGCTCTCTTGCCTGGGTTAGAGGCACCACACAAAGGGGAACCTGAGGCTTACTCCTGTTTTTTTTTGTTTGTTTATTTCTTTGGTTTGTTTGTTTCTTTGGATTGAACCCAGAGGAACTTAAGTACTAAGTCAAATCCCAGCCTCTTTTTATTTCTTATTTTGAGACATGGCCTTCCTAAGTTGCTTAGACTTTGCTAAGTTGCTGAACATGCTTTGAACTAGCGATCCTCCTGCATCAGCCTCCTGAGTCACTGGGATAACAGGTGCACCACACTGCACCCAGCTGAGATTAACCCTTCAGTGGTGCAGAAACATAAGTATGCATAAGAAAAGAGATGGAGAAAGAAGGGCCCAGAAAAAGTCCACAGGGTTGAAAACCACATCTGGAGGCAATAGAAAGTCAGCTAATGTACTCTGCTGCCTACAAAGAAAAATGTGCTTTTCTTTCCCAGGCCTTACAACTGTGGACCTGGGACTAAGAGTGAAAGCTAATATTTACTGAGCACTTAATATGTTCTAGGGCCCATGCCAAGAGCCTGGTAAGTGCTGATAGAGCTCTCAGAACAGCCCTTAAATTATTATTTCCATCTTAAATTATTATTTCCATCCCACAGATGAATAAATAGACTCAGGAAAATTAAGCAGCAGCCCAAGGTCACCTAGCAGGCAAACAGAGGAGGTATTTGCACCCAGGTAGCCTGACTTCAAAGGCATGAGCCCCCGGTACCCTGAAACCCAGTGATGCTGCTCTAGGGCTCTACCCACACCTCCAGCTCCACAGACCTTCCTTTCTGGGTTACCTGGACTTCTTCAGCTTACCATTCCCTCCCCCTGGCTCTCTAGTCTGGTGGAGGATCACCAGTTGCCAGGGGACATGAGGAGTTCCAGCTGTGCCAGTCCCTCTTCCTGGCCCCAAAGGCAGTGCCTGCACCCTATGTGCTAACCACAGTGAGGCAAAATCAAGGACAAACAGAGGATGTTCACAGCAATTTCCGCATCCCTCCACCTTATTCCCAGGCTGCTTTTCTCCATCCTGCCTCTGCTCAGCTCTGAACCCCTGGGCTCTGTCCTCTGTTTCTTACCTGGTCTCTGGCCTTGTCTATGGCCTTGATGGCATTTGCCCTTGTCACTTCCCTTTGGGTTATAGCTTTAGTGTGATTGAGAGAAATTGATTCTGGAGTCTGGCAGACCTAGTTTCATATCGTAGCCCTTCTGCTTACTGGCTGAATCAGCAAGTCATATAATTAATCTAGTTTATTATAAAATTGATAAACATATTTACTTTATAGCATTCTTATAACAATATATATGTTGTGCTTGGACCTTTGTAGGAACTTTAGAACTAAGCTTTACTTTGTTATTTTCTATCTGAATTCCTTGGGTAGATAGGTATTCTGGTTTGGATCTAAAAATGTCTCCCAAGAAGCTCATATGTTAGGTAATGCAGCAATGTTCAGAGGTGAAAAGACTGGATTATGAGAGTTGTAACCTCATCAGTGGATTAATCCCATTTGATGGGTTAATAATTTGAATGGACTATTGGATAGTAACCGTAGGCAGGTGAAATGTTGCTGGAGGAGTAGGCCATTGGGGGGATGCCCTTGGACTATAAGTGTCATGGCCCCTCTTCCATTCTCTTATTTTTGGACACCATGAGCCGAGCAGCTTTCCTTTGTCATGCCCTTCCAACATGACGTTCTGCCTCACCTCAGTCAAGAGCAATGGTATCGACTAACCATGGATGGAACCTCTGAAACTGTGATCCTAAAGTGAACTTTTCCTTCTCTAAGGTGTTCTTCTCTGGTATTTTGGTCACAGCAATGAAAAGTGTAGGACCCCAGGCTCGGAATCTCTTGGTTCTGGCTACACGGTGGGCCTGACTTGCACTATTCCTTCCCTTGTGTGTGCTTTGTTCTCTAAGAGTGAAAGCTGAAAATGGCTCAAGTCAAGACAAGCTCAGCAGGCATGACTGATCACCCCAGGCCAGTTCTGAAAGCTGAGCAGCAGTTGGGCATTCTAGGGAGTCTGAAGCCAAGGGGGTTTTCCCAGTAAGCTAGAGATAAGATGCAGAACACAGAATGTGGGGTTCAAAATAGGAGAGCTACAGGCATTTGAGAAACTTGTTTGATCACTCAGGAGCCAGTTCTATAGTCCGTATACTATGTTAAGCCTTTCCTCCCTTTCTCTCTTGCCTTCCAGACATTCAGATGTGTGTGTGTGTGCGCGCGCGTGTGCACATGAATGTATTTTAAATGAACCTTCAAAAGATGGGAAGTAGAAAGGATCATTCCCCTAGATATAAAGAACCTGTATGAACCTCCTCTTTGGAAGATTCTGGAATTTCTCATCCTGTGTAACTGGCCTTATGGCAGCAAGACAAGGCCAGAGTCAATCCACTGACCCAATCCCTTCAGTGATAGAATACTGACTGATCTATTTTCTTCTTGGTGCTGCGAGAAAGTATCTAGTCTTCATTAAACAGCCACAAAAAAAGGGAACCCTGAGTGATCCTGAGATATGCACGGATGTCAATTAATTCCAGAAACAACCTGAGCAGTGGTATTGTTATTTCTGTATGTCAAAACAAGGAACCTGAGGCTTAGCTCAGCTAAAGAACATTTGCTTCATGCCACACAACTAAAGGAGATGGAATAGAGATCAGAGCCAAAGCTCATGTGCATCCTGTGCCTTCTGGTGCCAGGGGACAGATGATTGAGTGTCACTTAGCTTACCTGTTAAGTGGTGTCACTTAGCTTACTTGCAGAAGAAGCTCAAAAAAAAAATTTTTTTTTTTAAATATAGTAAGAAGAATGAAAGGCTAATGGATTATCTGAAATGGATGCCTGGCTATTGACAGGGGCAGCCTGAATATGAGCAGTGTATTCATGGTGGAGTCTGAGCCAAAGGCAGTGTGTGGTCCACAGGGCACCATTCACTTTCCTCCTGACCAGAGCCAAGCCCCTCCTTCCACCCTTTCCACTTTTTTTGAGTATATAATATACTACGTGCCCTTTACTTCAGGATTTTTCAAGATGTATTTTTTAAAAAATCATAATCCTGGGAAATTCTTGACTGAAAAGAGAAGGCCATGAGTTCAAACATATTTGCAAAAATGCCATTTTCGTAAAAGTTTATAATATAGCCAAGTGTAGTAAAGGATCTCAGAATACCTGTAGCAAAAAATCCTTTTCCTTATAATACCTGTTGGTTTAAAACAGTCTATAATCAGTCTGCTCAGGTTTCATTTCTGGCTTTACCACGTAATAACAATGTAGCCATCCATATGCAAATGGTTTAGTCATCCTAAACCTCAGTGTCCTCATCCCAAAAAACCCAGGATATAGTAA